GCGCCGATGCTCGAGGCACCGAGCACCTGCTCCAGACGTCATTGTTGGCGTTTCCAGACTCGGTTTAACCGGAGTGGGTTTTACTTAGGGCAAGTCTTCACAAGTATCTGCATGCCGCCATGTGTAGGTACTGAAATAATATCCTTCTAGATGCTGTAGTATTCTTGAGGGGAATGAAATTTTGATGTGCCTTTTTTGTATACGGGCATGGCATTCGGGCTGGCCCATCTGTCGGTTCGGGGTATACCCCAGTTTTTATTATGCCGATAGTGACTCTGCTAGACCACCCATTTTGACTTGCGATCGTCATACATCGGTTATTATGGTTATTGACGTGATATGACAGCTCTGCTATAATTGCTTTTACAACTTACAACCATGATCACAACCAAAAGATATTACTCAAAAGGAAAACATAAATGCTCACGCAAGCGTTGCATCTCGAACCATGGGATTATTATGGCTATCAACGTGATATGACGATTATACTATATAATTTCTTTTAGAACTACCAAAAGATATTACTCGAAAGAAAAATATAAATGCTCACCCAAGCATTGCTCCTATGGTAGGCTCCGCACCATAGCGTGTACCCACATTAAATGCATGGTCGGGATGTGGCGCACATGTGGCCGTGGAACCTGTCCACATGTGCCGCACGTTACCGGTGTGTGCCGGTGCTCGAGGCGGCGACCACTTGCTCTAGACGTCATTGTTGGCATTTCCAGACTCGGTTTAACCGGAGTGGGTTTTACTTAAGGAAAGTCTTCACAAGGATCTGCATGCCGCCATGTGTAGGTACTGAAATAATATCCTTCTGGATGTTGTAGTATTCTTGAGGGGAATGAAATTCTGATGTGCCTTTTTTGTATACGGGTGTGGCATTTGGGTTGGCCCATCTGTCGGTTCGGGGTATACCCCAGTTTTTATTATGCCGATAGTGACTCTGCTAGACCGCCCATTTTGACTTGCGATCATCATACATCGGTTATTATGGCTATCGACGTGATATGACGACTCTGCTGTAATTGTTTTTACAACTTACAACCATGATCACAACCAAAAGATATCTCTACTACTTAAAAAGAGCGTAAGGTTCCCATTTCACCTTTCTTCCCACCACCCCTTCGTCCAACCTTCCATGTATATAATAATCAATCACCTTAATTCACTACCTTCTGAACCAATTCCACTTTAATTTATTTACCAAACTTCTAATCAAAATGTAAGGTAATCTCTGTTACTTAAAAAGAACATAAGGTTCTCATTTCACCTTTCTTGCCACCACCCCTTCGTCCGACCTTCCATGTGATAATCAATTACCTTAATTTACTTACCTTCTGAACCAATTTCACTTTAATTTACTTACCTTCTGAACCAATTCAACTTTAATTTACTTATCAAACTTCTAATCAAAATATAAGGTAATTCACGGTCAGAATTTGATGAACATTTATTTACACAATTGAATTATTATTGGCACGTAAATCACAAGCTAACGTATTAGAATATTTATATCCCGTTGCAACACACGAGCAATGTTCTAGTTACTCAAAAGGAAAACATAAATGTTCATGCAAGCGCTGCATCTCGAACCATGGGATTATTATGGCTATCAACGTGATATGACGATTATACTAAAAAATTTCTTTTAGAACTACCAAAATATATTACTCGAAAGAAAAACATAAGTGCTCACCCAAGCATTGCTCCTATGGTAGGCTCCACACCATAGCGTGTACCCACGTTAAATGTGTGGTCGGGGATGTGGCGCACACGTGGCCGTGGGGCATGTCTGCATGTGCGGCACGTTTGCCGAAGCATGCTGGTGCTCGAGGCGCCGAGCACCTGCTCTAGACGTCATTGTTGGCGTTTCCAGACTCGGTTCAACCGGAGTGGGTTTTACTTAGGATAAGTCCTCACAAGGATCTGCATGCCGCTATGTGTAGGGGGAACTCCTAGTCAGCGCCTTCAGCGCCGCGCAGGCTAACCGGCGCCTGCAGCCGCGGCTGGATGGGCCGGCCCACAATGGCGCAGCGCGAAAAAAGGCGGCCGAAAAACCTGCTCTCGATCAGGATCGATCTTGCGCCCTCGTGCTTCTAAAGAGCGAGGCTAACCACTTGACCAGCCAAGTTGTAGCGCTTCTTTAGAGCGTGAACATTTTAAAGAATAGAAAATAGACGCTCTATTAATTTTGAATTACACTATAGCATTTAGATTTTCCAATTATTTAAAAGCATGTGCACATATTACAAATGAAGTTCATGCACATGCAAAAAAAGTTCGCATATTCAAAAAATAGTTCACCAAATCAAAAAAGTTCATGTATTCAAAATAAAGTTCACAGATTCAAAAGGGTACATCGATTTTCAAAAAATGTCCATCAAACAATAAAATTAGTTCATCAATTTGAATAAAAAAAGTTCATCGAATTCGAAAAAAGTTCACCGGATTTTGGTAAAAGTTCATCTAAATTGAAAAAAGTTCATGTATTCAAAAACAAGTTCACAGATTCAAAAGAGTTCATCGATTTTCAAAAATGTTCATCAAACAATGAAAGAAGTTCATCGATTTGAATAAAATAAGTTCATTGAATTCGAAAAAAAAGTTCATCAATTTGTAAAAAGTTCATCGGATTTGGAAAAAGCTCATCAATTTTGAAAAAAGTTCATCAACGTTGAAAAAAAGTTCATCAATTTTGAGAAAAATTTCAAACAATGAAAAAGTTCATCGATTTTGAAAAAAGGTTCAAGAGTTTCAAAAAAACAGTTCATAGATATTGAGAACAAGTTCATCTATTTGAGAAAACAATTACGAATTTGGAAAAAAGAAAGAAGAAAATAACAGAGAAAAAAGGAAAAGAAAGAAAAAGAAAGAAAAAAGGAATATAGAAATGGATGAAAAACGTGTTTGTTATCAGAGTTAGTGAGGTAGTCGGGTTGGTCACCCCACTGTAATTGGTAACCAGTGACGCAGGTTCGAATCCTAGCTCGTGCTTTGTTTTTGCAGTTTTCCATAGAGTTTAGAAAGTGAAAGCGAAATCAAAGATGGGCCGGCCCACGAGATCCTGCTGCAGGCGCCGGTTAGCAAAAACAGTAGAAACCGGCGCCTGCAGCGCTAAATAGGAATTGCCATGTGTAGGTACTGAAATAATCTACTTCTGAATGTTGTAGTATTCCTAGGGGAATGAAATCACAATGTGCCTTTTTCGTATATTACTAACTTGGCTTTTGGGATGGCACATCTGTCGGTAAGCTCGGCGTATACTTCGGTTTTTTTTCCTGCCGACAAGAACTCTGTTAGATTGCCCATTTTAACCGTGATAGTCACACGGGTAGTTATTATGGCTATCGATGCGATAGGACGACTCTACTATAACTGGTAACCAGTGACGCAGGTTCGAATCCTAGCTCGTGCTTTGTTTTTGCAGTTTTCCATAGAGTTTAGAAAGTGAAAGCGAAATCAAAGATGGGCCGGCCCACGAGATCCTGCTGCAGGCGCCGGTTAGCAAAAACAGTAGAAACCGGCGCCTGCAGCGCTAAATAGGAATTGCCATGTGTAGGTACTGAAATAATCTACTTCTGAATGTTGTAGTATTCCTAGGGGAATGAAATCACAATGTGCCTTTTTCGTATATTACTAACTTGGCTTTTGGGATGGCACATCTGTCGGTAAGCTCGGCGTATACTTCGGTTTTTTTTCCTGCCGACAAGAACTCTGTTAGATTGCCCATTTTAACCGTGATAGTCACACGGGTAGTTATTATGGCTATCGATGCGATAGGACGACTCTACTATAACTGCTTTTAAAACTTACAACCATGATTACAACCAAAAGATACTATTACTCATCATCCTATCACCTGACAAAAACAAAAACAAAAAACCCGGGATATATTGTAGATTCAACCATACATAATCCAGATGAATATGACAATGTAATCTTACGTTCTACTATCTGTGCCACGTCATTTTGTCGGATTATTATGGAAATCAAGATTACCCTCAACAAAATATGGCAACTGCAGTTTGATTGAATGGAAACAAGAATGAAAAGATTGCGTTGCCAAGACAAGAGCAAGGGACACAAAGGAAGGAGGGAATGCAAATCAAGACAAACCAAAAAACGAAGAGAATAGAAGGCGCATACATACCAGTAGCCAGTAGGTAGTCTCCATCACTTTGACTTCGGAGCAACCGCGACCACGTCGGTAGCATAAAGCTTTCGCCCGTAGCACAATAGCCCACGGCTGGCTCGGCTGAGAGGGACAGGGAAGGCGGAAGGCGGAGGCAGAGGCTGGGCGGCACAGGCGGCGCCGTCACTCTCTGTTCTTGCGCTCATCTCAGAGGCGGCGGCAGGCAAGGTACGCATATTCCTCGGTCGCCGAGAATCGCTGGGTGAATTTTGTTCTTGATCCGTGGCAATCGTGTCTCTGTCCCTCCCTTTCGCCCCCTTCTCCGCCCAGCAGAAGATTGCCCGGATATACTCTAGATTCTGCCCCTTTTCCCCTTTTGTTCTTGGAGCGGCGTCTCTAACATGTCATCAGATCAGAATTGAGCCGGGAAATATACTGTGTGCGATGTTAAAGGGGTCGAGATTGATAAAATAGTGCTTATTCGCCGATAATAATAAGAATATCAAGATTGGATTTTACTGTTCTTCTTTGGAAATTCGAGCTCTTTTAGGTATTAGAAAAGTCCTGGCTGCTATGTTTAAGAGTACAACTTAAGCTGTATTTATTTGGAGAGTGTGATTTTGTACTTCCTCCAGAGCACCAGTAATTGCTGAAATTTGGTTCCTAGTCGGTCTAGAAATGGAAAGAGGAATAATACACGGCAATCATCAGCTTCTAATGCAACTCCGAATCCTAATCCTGAATGCTCCTTCAGTTAAGATGGTAGTCAGAACAGGGTTTTTATCTGCAGTGTTGCATTGATTGATTGATTGATTACAGTGTTCATTAGCTGCAAATTGCTGCAGGGGAGCGTCACGGTTCAGCAATGGCAGCTCCGAATACCTACGCTGTCCATCTCTCCTCGGAGACCCACAAGATCGAGGCCTGGTGCGAATCGGACGAGGCTCTGGCTAAGCAACTGCAAGAGGAGGAGGATTCGCTCGCTACAAGGGAATTTGCCGGTAATAATATAGTGCCACTGCTCCCACCGAGCATCTTTTGCGTTGTTTGAGGTGGATTCATTAGCTGTTATCAACTAATGCTCACGCGTGCTACATGTTGATGCTGCATTGTTTTCAGGCAGCGTGTCCTTGGAACCATCATCACCAGCTGTTGAGTATAGGCCTGCCAATAATGCAGCTCAGGTTTGTTGCTTCTCTACTCTTTTGTTTCCTTTGGTTGCCTCATTGGGATCATCAGCACATTCCTTGGAAAGGGATTCCAAATGTGTGCACTGAATATTTTTTGAAGGGGGGCACAGAATGATGAGTTGATGACAATCTGTTTATGCAGGTGGCGACAGAAGATAATGTCGACCCGGATAATATGTCATACGAGGTATGCTGTTTTGCTTTTGCCGAATAAACGTTCTTTGACGGTTTTGAGAGAACAAACAATTTTCTGAACACATATTGTGCCAATGTAGTTCACTTATATATACTACCTGCTCTCATACAAAAGGTTTAAGGTTGTGTTATAGAGTACTACTACTTTGTTCCCATGATTTGACATTAAAAACAATTGGACATAAAGAGACACACTTTGATTGAGATCTTGTAGCACATGAAAATCTCATCTCTGAGCAACTTTTCACTATTGTTTTGTTGTTTTGTAGCAACTACAAGCAATTGGTGAAGAAGTAGGAACTCAATCCAGAGGATTATCTGATGACCTGATAAGCTACCTGGAGCCTTTTAGGAACAAATGCAACTTCTTCTCTTGCAAAAAGAATACCGATGAGTACGTGACAGTTAGTTTTACTCTGAATCGATCATCATTTTGTAACCCTAAGATGAACATATAATCGTGTGATACCCCCATGCAGATGTGTGATCTGCAAATCGAACTATAAAAGCCTACAGAAGTTGATAAGATTGCCCTGCAGCCATTGTTACCATGCAGGTTGCATAACTCGCTGGCTTAAGATTAACAAGGTAAAACTCAGTTTTTTCTTCTTCTCTAAATATTATTCGATTTTATTTTGATAGACTACAATTAAAATGTAAGTTTTTTGTCCTCTGTGAATAGATACTGTATGTTAATATTAACCTGCTATGTCGCTCGACAAAAGCAGATATTATCTGGACTCCATATCAAAATTCTCTGTTGTCTGATATCTTGGTGTACAATCCTCTGTTGTTTGATATTCAGAGGATTATCTGATTCTTTTTCTGATATGCACCTTTATTTTCATTCAGGCATGCCCTGTCTGCAATGAGGAGGTATTCGGTTAACTTGCGATGTTTGTGGAGATGTTGTGGCCTCGTCGCCGCATCATGATAATGGGCAATCTTGGTCTCCTACAGCCTATTATGCTATAAAATACTCGATGGTCTAGCGTGCTTTAAGAAAACTGTATTTTGGATCATGGCATGTTTGATGAGCCCCAACTTAGTTTTGTCATTAAAATGATGATAAATATGTGTGGACAGTGGGTTATATGGTTGCCAATTTTCCGAGAATGCAACTGAGCAGGAGCAGTTAAGTAGATGATGTGGTTTGCCATGTATTGCACCCTCTTTACACCAGCCCACTGTGTAAAGTCTGAAGCATGATTGTAAATGTTATATAGATGTGTCTCTCTTATATACTTTGGAACATACTCCCTTCGTAAAGAAATAAAGTGGTGATCAAAACGCTCTTATATTTCTTTACGGAGGGAGTACAAACAAGTGTGTTGCGAGGTTTCTGAAAATTCAGAAACAAATGGCATATGCAAAAATTATAATCGAATGAACTATGTTTTTTAAGTTTTGTGAATACGACTTTGTTTGTGGTCTATGATACAATGACGAGCATGAATATAACTATATGCCCTCTACTTTTATTTTTACGCGGGCCACAAAATTCTAACCATTTCATGAAATCATGACGACTTGACATAATACCTCACAACCATTTCAATGCTTGTTTTCTAAATAAAAAAATGAATTTCTGGAGGAAGAAAAGCAACTTAGCAAGTTCTTGTGAGCCCAAAATCGCCAACAATCTATCGATATTCACCATGATCACATGGTACTCTCTCTACGCCCAATGGACCTTCCTCTACTGCGCCAGGAAGAGAAATGGAAACACACTTATACCAATCTAGAATAGGAACTCATTCCTATTAATTAATTTCAGTTAGTTCTTTTGTCCAAGCAAGATAAGTTTTAGTGCAATCTGGATCTCTGCATCTTCTCAGTGGAGAGTTTGCTATCCTTCTCTTCTCTGAGTGATGTTGCAGCAGGGGCTCAGCAAAGGCTGCACACCAATATTAATATCCTTGGATCCTGGATTAGCATTGGATCTCAGTGTCATTGGTTGCCTAAACAATGCTGATCTATTGCAAATGCTATTAACTAATAGTTAAATAATCATGGAGCATGATGATCCATTGCAAATGGTACTATTAACTAATAATTAATTAAGCTCCATGATCCAATGCTGACACTGATCCACTCCATCCGGTGTAGATTCCAGTGCTGATAGGTGTTCCTGTTGGCATCTCATCTTTTAAAAAGTTTAAGTTGTTCTTTCCCTGATAAATCATCATTCCCTGGTTAGTTGAATAAAGTTGTAAAGTGTGGATGTGGTGTCATGCAACCAACATCACAAATCTTATCTGGGTTCGCTGTCACGCATGATCTCATCCGGTTGGCATCCTCAGTGTCAGCAACAGGTGTTTAGCACCAGAACAGGCCGTCCTTTGTGCAATGGCTATGTTGTCATGAGCACACCCCATCCCCATTCACACGCCCCAATGGAATGGCATGTCCCCAACAAACAATTTTCCACCCGTGCTTTTGTTTTGCTGTTCATGATCTCTTTGCTTTTAGTGAAGCTTTAAGAAAACTAGAGAAAATACCCTGTGCGTTGCTGCGGGAATTGGATGCAATCATAGTGTCATGGTGAGTTGACATAATTGCATGTTAACAGAATTAAATTTAGTGGGACATACATGGTGGCATACTGAGTTTGACATAATTGCATGTTAAGACAATTGAGTTAGTGGAGATAAACTATTTAGGCATCATATATGATTTGTAGAGTTTCAAATCCTTGAAACATTTCTTGTATTGTTGTTTGATTTGTTGGACCAGAAACCTCAAGATTTCTCTATTTGCAGGCCACAAGGGAGTTGAGGGAGTAAGTTAAAAATAAAAAGGAACTCGAGGAGAATTTGATCCAACCAAGGTTTGGAACACAAGGATCAGAACATAGCAAAGGCAAACATGTATATCTGTCACTGAACTCGCAATTTACAAGGTGTGACATGCTTGATGCTCCTATACAGGGACAAGAGGAAATAAAAAATCACTCACCCCTCCAATTACATTCACATTACAGGACTGAAAAAACACCGACAGCCGCAAGCGCACACGACGGAGGAAGTAAGCAAAACCATATTGTTTCTATAGATATCGAGCTTAATGTGCTCACTAAAACTACTCATAACTCCCAGGTCCCTTTTTCCGCGCAAGGCATTTGGGTTTTATAACCACTGAATCCATACACAGGCCTCCTTTTGTGTGTGTGCAGTCTATCTGAACCATTGCAAACTTGATATTCAGTGGCCCGTTCGAGTCCTTCACGACGAAATCGCCGACATGATGATAGATCCAGACGCCTGGATCAGTTAGGTAACACTTGGACTGGGCCTGCTGCCCATCCGAAGTCGATAGCTGGAAGCGCACCGGCTTTACGTCCCACCCATGGATGTGCTCGGCACTGTAAACCCGGCGACCGAGCCGCTTGAAAGGCCTGCCGAGGTGAATTCGGAAAAACAGGCTGTATGTACCTTCTGGGAAGCAGAACTCAACCTCCCCTCTGACTTCAAACCACCAGATTTGGGAGAGATAAGCAACCGAACGGAACCTGCAGAAAAAGCAGCATGCTTATCAGGACTTCTCTTATCTGCCAAATGTTTAGAACATTGTGGCTCTATAACCATATACAGTTGAGAAAGCACAACTGTACAAACACATAAAATACACACTTATGCGTAGTCGTATGCCGGTAAAGCAAACATGCTCAATTATCTCACATGAAAGGCATGATTAACAAAGCAAACATGCTCAATTATCTCACATGAAAGGCACCAATGCATCATAAGAAACAACTACTGCTTATCATGTTCCAACGGCCATACACTTCAGGGGCCACTGCAGATAACCACACCCCTAGTTGGTGACATGTGGAAGTAGTGTGTTGTTCACAATCCCGCCTTCTTTTGCTTTTATTATCAAGACAAGCTAACTGTCAGTTGCAACTTGTAACATGAGTTGAACACAGGGAGTGTTGATGTAGTTTGCATCATTTGGAGTTCAAGTGGCTAAACATACGAATAGCGGGAAGTGCTGCTCAGCTTCGGCGATACGCACCAGGAGTTCAGATACTCATCCACAAAGAAAAAAGAGAGAAGTCATGGCATAAAGTTTCTATTAATGAGGACCATTATAAGCTGTCGTATTTGGTTTTGATGAAAGCACCTTGATTCATCATTTGGAATGAAGTTCCAGTATCTCCTGTCATCGATGCCTGTGATCGAAAGCGCCCTCGAATAGATTGTCATGCAGGTGCCTCCACCAGCCTTGTCGAGCCAGAACTCCTGTTCAACGGACCAGATACTGAATTTCAGTTGCAGTAGCAAACTAGCAATAACAAATTAGCAACAGTAATTCAAGGAAAATAAAAGAAACTAATCAAACAAGCTCATCTTCAAATCGGCGTTTGAAACTAATTAGACTTCTCCGTAAACCTTATTTAAAACTCAAATTCCTGCACTTTAATAACACAAACTTCACCCCCAAAAAAACTCATATTCCTGCACCTTTATTAATACAAACAATACCCCAAAATAAAACTCAAACTCCCGCAGTTTTATTAATTTGCAGGCATACTAATTTGCACAAGGTTTTGTCATAAATTTTAAAACAAATTGCCTGGAAATTTTCAATATTTTTAACAGATACAGTGGCGATGTTCACCGCAAAGATGGGACAAAGTACGCACCTTGGTGCCGCCGTCGAGGGAGTTGCGGCGGGAGAGCCGCGCATACACCTCCTTCTTTGGGATAGCCTCCGCCTCCAACGCGGCGGCTTCCTCGTCGCCACCGCCGGCGGCGGCGAGGAGGCGCGCGTAGTTGCGCGGCAGCTTGGCCTCCCAGACGGCGTCCCCGGACGCGGCGCCGCGGAAGGTGCGGCTGAGCCGCGCCATCCCGCAGATCTCCGTCGGGTTCAGCCTGAGCATCACCTCGGCGACGCAGTTCTCCGGCAGGTCCCCCAGCGCCGTGCCCCCGCCCCGCCTCGCCGACGACCCCACGGCGCCCATGGATGACTCGCTCGACCGAGAAGAGGGAAACAGCCGCCCGCCGGAAGCTCAACAGTAGAGGGTGAGCAGCTTGGAGAGCAGCAGCAGGGACGCCGGCGACTTGGAGAAGAGCGGCGGGTTACGCCTCACCGCCGAAAGGCCCATCCCTCCGGTGCCACTGCCACCTCGCTTGCCGTCGGAAAGCGGAGAACCCCGGACGTCGTCGTCGTCGTCGTCGCCCTCGCCTGTCCCAGTCCCAGCAAGTTCTTGCACCGGCCGGATCGAACTGATTCTTGTTCCGCCCGACTGTGGCTGGTCGATCGAAGAAGGTTCTGGCTCCCGAGCTTGCTTTATGCGCTCGGTTGCTTGATCTTGGCGTCTGCCGGGTTAGGCTGGTGCTGAGGCAGGGAGCGGAAACGGGGTAGCGGCTGCGCCAAGGGAGTGGAAGTTGTGGAAGACGACCGCGCGCAGCCGCAAGGGAAAGTTGGTTTTGTTCTTGCCCGTGGGGGGAGAGGGGCGGCGCACAAGATTTCTCCCCTTTTTCCCCACTCGGTGCTCGGTGGTGGTAGCCGCGTGTCGCGAGGTGGTTTCGTGCTCGTCTGCCACCCGCTCCTCGGTGCGAGTCGCTGTCCGGAAGACGATGATTCACCCAGTTCACCTTCCGTCTCCTACTGGCCGTTGAAATCGACTGACTGCTATTGTGTGCCTCAATTGTTACTGTCGAGCAAAGCAAAATGTCTACTTTGTTCTTTGTCTAACGATCGTTTTTTTTTCCTTTTGCAAGGAGAAATTGGCCATTGGACAATTTACTTTTTTGATTTTTTTTAGAGAATAAGGCTCGGGCCGGCCGAGGAAGAATAAAAAGAGCAACCAGAAGCGCAAGGAAAAGGCAGCTGTTGAGGGTTCTCGCACTCACGGTACCGGCAAGAAGGCCAAGACCGAAGCCCCCGGCAAGGAAGTTGCCGCGTGCACTGATTGCCGGGAGGCTGCGGCGGCCGAAAAGGCTGGGAAGGCCGATGGATCGTACTGCAAGATCCACCGGACCAAGGGCCATGACCTCCAAGAGTGTCACCAAGTTGAGCAACTTGTCAAGAAGCAGAAAGCCGAGTACGAGAAACGTGTGAAGAAAAGGGACCATGAAGGGGTTGGCGGGAAGGGCCGAGACGGCAGAGGAGGCCGCCGCGGCAAGATTCCCCAGCATCAAGAGAAACCTGCTAGAGGCCCTGAGAGAAGGAAGGTGATGACGAAAGTGATGAATGGGGTGATGAGGAAACCAGTGAGCAAGAATTCCAGAAGGTAACTGAGGCCCTGTGCGTTGACGAAGGCGCATCTTTGCACTCCTCCCACTGCCAGCTCAAACAATGAGCGCGTGAGGTCAATGTTGTCGACCAGCAGCAGATTCCCGGAAGCTGCTCAAGTGGTCCCGCACGCCTATCATCTTTGATGAGGAGGACCACCCTGACCGCACTACTGCGGTAGGATGTTTGTCGTTGTTGGTTTCGCCAACAATTCGCAACCTCAAAGTCACAAAGATGTTAGTTGACAGTGGGGCTGGGTTGAATCTGATTTCCTCCAAGGTGATTAACAAACTTCAGATATCAGATGAAGAGCTCAAGGTTACTGGCACGTTTCAAGGAATCAACCCCGGCATGAGTCATCTTAAGGGGAAGATTACGCTGCCGGTGACATTTGGTGGAGAACTAAACTACCGGACCGAGAAAATTGTGTTTGATATGGTCGATCTCTCTTTTCCGTACAATGGGATTCTTGGTCGTCCAGCCCTGGCAAAATTCATGGCGGCATCTCACTATGCCTACAACACAATGAAAATGCCAGGATTTAACGAAGCCCATCAACCGGCCAGGAAAACAAATCTCACACGATTACATAGAAGTAACATAGAATAGGATGTTTGCTCCAGTAATGAGCGCCTCAGTGGCTGCCCTAACATAGATTGCATGATGAAGGTGACACGATTAGAGGGGATGCAATAAGGAGGGTTGGGGGAGGGCGAGGAGCGATGGAAGGTGGCGGCGCATAGTGAAAGCGGGAGAGGGGTCAATGGGTGAAGATAGAAACGTGACCGTGAAAACGCTTGAAGTATAGCTCGTCACGTCGTATCCTAGTTCATTGCATAGTTTTTGCTTTTTGTTGAACGTGATAAAAGGAATGGGGAAGGCACAATAAAAAAATTGTTTGGCACTCCTGGATTTGTTAGTAAGGTTCAAAACTACTAATGGATAATCTAAAACATATGATATCTTATTCTAGAAAATATTATTTGGCAAGTAAACCTGTGCATTCGAACTATGATGAAAATAGATGTGGCCAGGACTCCAGCAAAACACAAATTCCCAATGTCATTGGGGCCCCACTGAAACACACTTGCACCATGAAGGTGTGCTGAGTAGTCATGCACCTGCAACTTCACCCTATCTCATCGGTCGAATAGAAAGGGCAAGGGCATCTCCAACGGCGACCCCTAATTCGGACACCGGATCATCCACGATGTTGGAGTCGGACATCCAACTGTATCTATATACATTTTAAATCGGACGAGTTACATCAAACATGACAAAATTCAGCAAAGTTCGGATATAATATACAAAAAACAGACGATATCTCATTCATGTAACTAAACCACACCCGCAACATTCAAAGTAATTATATAAAAAATAGCTCATTTAATCCATAAATAGTATGCAAATATCTCTACCACGAGATAACCGGATGTTCAACAAATATTTCCATTCATCGATTTCAATCTTAACGATACTAGAATAATTAGAGGAGGAACATGTCGTCCCATACAGGCAGTCCATTCAGCTAGATCCAACAATGTATGTGTGTGAATGGTCTGCCCACGGTCATGTAGTACATCACGGCAGAGCGTGCAAGCTATACAACATGAAGAGCAACATTGAATGAATGAATGAATTAACCAACATGTAGAGCAACAAGAAGCAAAACTTATGGTCTTCATGGATGCGCCCAATGGTCACAGTGCTTCCATGCGTTCAACTGCACCGTAAAATTTTTTGACGGAGTTATGGATGGTGTGCCATCAATGCTCTAACGACCTCACATTTCGTTCGTGGACGGTGTGCATGTCGTAGGGCGCAAAGTGCTTTTACGATGGAATAAACCATGCACGCGTCGCCAAAGGACCGAGCCAGTTGAGTTTCGGCATACGAAGTCCGTAGATACGGCCAAACACACATTGCACAACAACTCATCCTTCTTCACTGAGTACCCCGTGAAAAGCACATTCACACCCTTGGTGGTTTTGATAATTCATGTCAGCATACATGTTGTTGGACTAATGCTTTCCTCAAGTATATTTCAGGAAGAGTTTAACTTAGGCAAACCTTTAGAATGAGAAGTGGACCCCTCAATATACTAAGGACATGCATTGGCAAAGCTTCAAGACTCTACATCTTTGGTTAAGTGATCCAAAATCCCATGTAATCCATAGAAAAGCCGGTACTATTAAAAGGGGATGAGGTTTTGATGATGGTCTAACTGTCTAATGCTTATAGATATTGCTCCAAAACCATCGCCGGCCACACTCTCATATTTCACTATGCCTAAAACCCTAAAGTCCATCTCAGTCTCACTGATACACAATCAGCCAGACTCATTGAGATACACTTGGCATAGCCACTGCCTAAACCCTAGCATCTCGGTCCCACTGAAGGGCTCTTGCCAACCTTCCGTTGTCAACTGAAATTCAATCGGAATTTCTGAATGGTTTCAGTCGATGACACAGAAAGTTCTTAGGTCAGCTTGACTCGGTCTCACTGAGATGTTTCATCTGGTCTCACCGTAAAGCCTAAAGTCTAAACCTTTTGTACATGTCGGTCTCATCGAGTGGTTTCACCCAATCCCACCGAAGTGTGCATAAAGTTGTGTAACGGTTGGATTTTTTGGTGATGTCTATATATACCTCCCACCCATCCACCAACTCTTAGAGAGCAACCAGTTCGAAGCTTACACTTCCCATATCTACTTTCTAAGAGAGAACCGACTATTCTTGTGTTGAGATCAAATGCTTTCCATTCCAACCATAGAACTTTCATCTCTAGTCTCACCATGTTGTTTTCCACCCAAATTCCTGTCCTACCACAATGCCAAATCTGTGAGGGAGTGCTTGAGTGTTGTGGAGACTATTTTCTGAAGCACAAGAGCACAGAGTTTATCATCAACAACAACATCTATTACCTTTTGGAGAGTGGTGTCTCCTAGATTGGTTAGGTGACACTTGGGAGCCTCCAATGCTTGTGAAGCGAACCAAGGAGTTTACAAGGGCAAGGAGATTGCCTACTTCATGAAGATCTACCCTGAGTGAGGCTACTCCTTCGTCGGCGTAAGTCATGGTGGAATAGACAAGGTTGATTCTTCATGGACCCTTTGTGGGTGGAGCCTTTCATGGACTCGCGCAGCCGTTATCCCTTAGGGATTGAAGTCTCCATCAACATGAATGTACGATAGCACCACCTATCGGAACCATGGGGAAAATCTTTGTGTCACCTTTCATTTGCAAAATCTCCTAAACACTACTCTCTACATTCTTGCACTTGGATGTTGTTTACATTCTGATGCTCATACTCTAGACATGCATGTCTAGGGTGTATTGCTTCTTATCTAACTACGATCCCACACCCCTTTGTCATGCTTACTCTAGAAAACAACATGAAGTTTGAAAATAAGCTTAATGGCATTTGACCGAACACCTATCGAATGTGCTGTCTTGAAGGAAATATGCCCTAGAGGCAATAGTCAAGTTGTTATTTTATATTTCCTTATATCATGATAAATGTTTATTATTCATGCTAGAATTGTATTAACCGGAAACTTGATACATGTGTGGATACATAGACAAAACACATTGTCCCTAGCCAGCCTCTACTAGACTAGCTCGTTAATCAAAGATGGTTAAGTTTCCTAACCACAGACATGTGTTGTCATTTTATGAACGGGATCACATTATTAGGAGAATGATGTGATGGACAAGACCCATC